TCCTCAGTGAGCTGAAGCAGCGCCATGTCCTGCCTAATCACCTCTCCCCAATACTTCTTAGGCCTACCTCGACCTCTTCTCAAACTCTCCATGGCCAACCTCTCACACCTCCTAACTGGAGCATCAATGCTTCTTCTCTGAACATGTCCAAACCATCTCAGCCTCGACTCCCGCATCTTGTCCTCCACGGAGGCTACTCCCACTCTGTCCCGGATATCTTCATTCCTAATCCTATCTCTCCTGGTACACCCACACATCCATCTCAATATCCTCATCTCAACTTTAAATTTGAAATTTGATAAAATGATTTGAAAAGTATTTCAAGTGAAAAAATAATTTTCACTCAAAAAATCTCAGCTTTCATGATAAGTGAAATTTATGTTCAAATACAAACGAACAAATATACCTATTTCAATCAACTTAATTCAAATACTCTTTTTTCCAAAACTTCAACCAGGTAATCATATCAATTTCCCTTATCTCAATTTTTGCCAATCCAGATCTGACATGTGTAAAGTTGAATCAATTGTCATACAACAATGATCACAAGTGGCTGACTTGGCAATCCACATATGATATTATGTGCTTTTCTTGTTCTTTTGCCTCTCGTCATGTTGCTATGAAGATCTTATGGCTTACACTGAAATGTTAAATTTCAAAGGATGAGGTACAAATTATGCAAGAACCACATATAACTAATAACCTATATCCTTCTACTCAATCTTTTGGTTCCCTCTGTATTTCTAAATAAATAAATATTACAATATTCATTTCCCCACAAGTTGAATCCCTTCGCCCAATAGTTTAGTTGAATATTATTGCAAAGTGAGTATGTTCAATTCTTCTTAGTCTCAAATTTTTAACAAAAATGATCGCTATATGTCTAGGTTGAGATTTGAACCTACGACCTTTACAAGCACAAATACAAGCTTGACCAGCAATTAGCAAACCAAGAAGTACTCTCTACTAGAAAGCGGTGTCATTACTATATATTGCTTTATTTTTTGAAGAATATCAGTATAAATATTTAATATTTTCTCCGGTGAAGACCTATGTGCATCCGCCCCTGGTTTTTGCGGTGCATGTGAGCTCATGGTCTTTCCGTCAAACTAGATATTTAATTTTATGTAGATATTTTGTAAAATTGATCTAATATTATCTGTTGGCTCAAAGCTCCAAAAAGATTGAATGTTGCATCTGATTGAGTTGAATGCTGAGTAATTTATCCATAGGAATATGGATCGATTACTACTTAGTACTATTATCTTTTTCTTGTTTTTTCAATGGTACACCTATATTCTAGAAATCCTTGATCCACTTCTGTCTCATTCAAGAACTGAAATTTATAAGAATAATTTGGTAAAATTATGTTGAATAAAGAAATATTTGTTTCCCGTTGGAATGTGTAGTAGCTTCTTTAATGTACTACATTAATGCTCAATTATTTTGAACAGGGACTGTTCGTCTATAAGAACAAACAAAGGACAGTACGTCAGATGAAGATGACAGAAAATATGGTACACAATATCTTTGTTAAATCTTTCCACAGTTAGGATCAAACTACTCTATTTTTCTCGTTCAGATTTTAAAATTAGCTATACAGGTTTTATATATGCTTGATATTGTTAGCTACCCCAATTGTTTCATTTTAAGTGACATTTATTCTTTTTTAATCGGTGCAAGAAAGAATGATACATTGATGATTGATACCTCTATATATTTGAAATTCTTTAACTTTAATTTTTTAAATTATCTTTAATGACATATTCTTATAGCTAAAGTAATGTTATGACATGTTAAAGACTACAAGTTTAAAAATATTTTCTGTATGTGCTAAAAGTCAGTTCTTTCTAAACTGTCTGTCCAGTCAAACATGAAACACCGCCATATAAACTGAGTCAGATAGAGTATATGTTAGGACGCGCGCGCTTGTGTTTGAAACGAAAAGCATAAATTCATGGCTCCATCACTATTTACAAATACTCAAAATGATTTTGGAGCCATATATACAGGGACGGACCTATGCTATATTGAGAGGGGTCACCGACATCCGTAAAATTCAGCAAAAAATTCTATTTATGCATTTATATGTTTTTAGAAAATGGTGGAGTAATATAGTAGTAGTGGGCACTAGGGGTGTACATGATGCGGTTTGGTTCGGTTTTTTATTAAACCAGAATCAAACCAATTATGTCGGTTTACTAAATTCATAATCAAATCAAACCAACATAAATTCGGTTTTTTCGGTTTCGGTTTTAGTCGGTTTTTTTGATTTTTTCAGTTTTTCGGTTTTTTTTCGGTTTTCATTTTTAGTTATATTATTCTTGAAAAAGAGATCAAATAATCACCAATTATCCGCATGATTACTATTTTTCTTAATAATATACGAGGAATACCAATTATTCATATAAATCATAATTCCAAGACCTTCCATAATAGAAAATGACAACAAACATGCGACATAGCAAAGCACTGTAAACTTGATAAACCTCAACACTAAATAATCACCAATTATAAGCAAAATGACAAGCAGGAAGCTCGTGTGATGTGGGGGAATGGTTTCCAATATTTGGGGTTCTTTGATTTTGGAATTGGAACATAGGGAAGATATAGAATAATATATTTTATTGTTTTTTGTCTTGTTGAGTTTTAGTTTGGGCTTGATATTGTAGATAGAATCTACTTAGTGGATAGTGAATTTACAAGCCCACAAATAAATAATATCTCAAGACATTGAAAACTATAAAATAGTTAAGAAAATACTTGCAAATTAGATTTTAATGGTTATTTTTTATGTACAAAATTTCTAAAATTTATTTATATATAACGTCAGTTTGGTTTAGATTCGGTTTGACTTATTTTTTGTTAATGCCAAACCAAACCAAGAGCGATCGATTTTTTATTTTCCAACACCAAACCAACCAAATCAAACCACAAGTCGGTTTTTTTCTTCGGTTTGGCTTGGTTCGTCGGTTCGGTTTGGCTTGATGGTTTGGCTTGTATACCCCTAGTGGGCACCCTATATATAAAGTAGATTTTGGTTAAATTTAAAAGTGCACCGGCGAGCTAGCTAGTAAGATCCTAGAAATCAAGGTTGATGATAAAGTCAGCGAAATTTCCATAGTGTTCTACCTTTGCGTAGTCTCGGTCCACAAAAAAGATCTCTTTTTCTTTTTTAGATTCGAAATTCTTCGTTTTTTTCTTCGCGTGTTGGAGGGACTAGCTAGTTATGAAAGCAACTAGGTAAAGCAATACAACAAAATCACTTGAGAATGAATTGAAAGATGCTTTTGCAGTTTGCAATATATCAGAGGTGGAGACACTCTTCTCTGCGGAGAATGTTTTTCAACACAATTAATTCCTCAAAACAGTTCATTACTAATTAATAAATGTAAATATTATTGTTGAAAAACCAATATATATTAGTTATATTGACACTATTTGAACATAGGGTAAACATCGATATGAGAAAAGAACCAAATCCTTAAAACCTATATATAGAACCTCAGATGTACTCTCAAATAAGTTGAGTTGTAGCACTCACAAAGGAAATATAATGGTAGGAAATGACATCTTTCTTATTAAATACCAGTTAAAAACCATTTGATCGTTAGGAAAGATGTTTTGATGTTTTATACTTCACGAGAGGGGGTGATTTGTGTGGTGTCCTATTTCGTGTGCACTAGATTATAGAAGGACCTGGTTCTTCTATGTACGTTTCTTACACTACAATTGCAGAATAATAAATGCAGAAAGTAAAGAAAACAAGTATTTTTACGTGGAAAACACCTGACTCAAAATGTGAAAAAACCACGGCCTACTACCTAGTAGGATTTTTTCCAACACTTCACTAAATCGCTGAGCCAAAACAACGTTTACATAGTTGAGTAAAGGGATAATGTCGCTTTAACTAATATAGTCATAGTTGGTAGATTTAGTTAGAAGCTTTACAACTTCCTCCACAAGCAAATATAGACTAACCTCTTTCTTGGCTTGTCTAGACTACATTCTAGGACATTTAGAAGGGCTCCGTATAGTCTTGAGGTGTAACTTCATGATGCTCCCCCCTTCTTTTAGCCGAGTGACTTCTTATCGATCGAAAGGGCTTTGACCTAGTGGTTATAGGAAAGCATCAAGTGATGTATGGAATAGGCACACTTAATCATGGGTTCGAAGCTTGTTCCAAAATAAAATCTTGAATTTAAGTTGACAATGGTAGAAAGACAAGTCCATCATTCACCGATTTTCAAACTGTACGCCATTGACCCTCTGAAATTTCTATGTTATTCAAAAAAAGTTGAATTATGATAACAAGCAAACACTATTTACACTGAATCCTCTGTAGAAGACTAACAAGTTACAATAAAATCTAAAGGGCTTCGGCCTAGTGGTTATAGGAACAACAAGTGATGTATGGATTAGGCACACATTCGTCATCGTAGATTCGAAAAATAAAATTTTCAATTTTAAGTTGACAATAGTAGAAGACAAGTTCACCATCCACCGAATTTCAAACTGTACGTCACTGGCCTTCTGAAATTTCTCTTTTATTAAAAAAAAAAAAGTTGAATTGTAGTGGGTCATGACGGTTTTTATTCGGTGATAAGTAATCGCATATTGCCAAATAACATCATGTCCAACTTTATACATAAGCACACACAAGTTTAGAAACACTAGTGAGGTGGTAATGAAACCATGCATATATTTGATCAATTGCAGCCTCGTGTTTGAATCTAATTGGTTGTTTATATGTGAGTAGATAATTTCATACAATTGGAAAATGCCACTTAGGTAATCTTGGTTTGTTCATTTTTGGTTATTAATCTCTATATATGGCAATACATGGACCCAATAATCACGTGGAGGGGGCAGCTGATTGGAAACCCTAAAAGACAAAGAAATTGTCACTTACAAAATCTTCTCTAATCCCCTCTCCACCAGTTATCATTTATCTCTCACGTGGGACTCCTTACCCCACTCTACTGTTTTGCAAATTCTCCTAAGTTTTCTACACTCTATTTTTATTCACTCACTTTGCCTCAGCTCATGATCTCTTATCATACCATACTCCTATCATCTTTTAGATAATATTTTTCTTCAATTTGTGCTTGGCGATCAACATCAGATTACTAAACTATATCATGAGTGATTCCTCTGCTTCTTACATCCATATGGTAATTTTTTTTTTTTTTTATGACCACTCAATATTTATCATCAACTTCGAACACTTCGTGATAACTTTAAGTGTTAGTACTCTCTATTCAGCAACGGAAATTTAGATGGTTGTACATGTACAAAGGTGGAGCTACAGTTACGGATTCGGCAGAGCTCAGTAGCTTTGGCTCAAATTCTGCATAAATATCTATTAAGAACCTATTAATAAGCTACTCTTTCTAGAATTCAGAGTCCATAAATTCAAAATTCTAGCTCAGCCATTGGTTGTGCATCTGTTCTTATTTCGATTGATCCCGTTAACTAACCTTTTTGTTGTACTGTATAAACTCTGAAACTAATTTATTGTGAATCTTATTCGTTGTTTTTGTTCTTTATTATTGATGCTTAACCCTAATTTAGGTGCAGCACTTGATAGAAAAGTGCCTGATTTTTCATATGACTAAAGAGGAGTGCATGGAGGCACTATCCAAGCATGCAAACATCAAACCTGTAATCACTTCTACTGGTAAGTACTGTAGTGCTTTTCTTTTTTATATGATCCATAGCTACTCCATTAGCTTGTGCATGCATGCAGAATTTCAGTTTGATGGACTTTCCCTTTATATAGTTATGGCCGTCGTTCACTGCGCTTCTGTTGTATTGCCAGCTCCCTTGTCATCATGTCACCAACTTCCTCGACCCTCTAAGGCAGGCGTTAGCCCTCATACATGGTTTTACGATTTTCGGAGACCTATGCTATTGATAAATATATATATATATATATATATATATATATATATATATATATATATATATATATATATATAGTCGCCCGGGTCATATCACTACGACACCCTTTATAAATGAGGAGACACTCTAGATAAAATATAGATGCAAAAGCATCAATATTTTGCACTACTATATATAATAAAGTCACACTCATTAAACCTTAGATCCTTAATTCACCTCAGATGATAGGTGGTCATAGATTTTGTACTACAATGTATAACAAAGTTGTACTCATTAAACCACTTACTTTGGATCTTTGATTCGCCCCGTATAGATTTTGAGGTCTCGTATTATCATAATTCTAATAGTGCTAGATTTAATATATATTTTATACCCTCCAACTTAAAGGCGAATAGTAACTACTTCTAGACGTTAGTCTACAACATTAAGAGCACCAGTGATATTGGTGCACATATATACAAACTTCTTTCAACTATATATTCTTAACCACGGCAGGACCTAGGGGCAGAAGGGGTCCCGGAAAATTACACTTTATATATAAGGTTAAAACTATTTTTTTGTTATGTATATAGAGTATATGTTGAATTTACTTAATTAAGTGATTCGTGTGCTTACCTTCTTTATATTTTGAATCTCTTAGTGAAAATCCCGGATCTGTCACTATTCAACTGATCATGTCCATGTTTTGTAGTGTGGAATGAGTTAGAGAAAGAGAATAAAGAGTTCTTCGAGTCATATACTCAATCACAGAACAAAGATCGCATGACAGAGGCAGAAACTAGCGCGATGATTCAGAAAATGATTTCAAACCATGATCATGATCATTCCAAAGACTATGAGGAAGTAGGTTGTTCGAAGGATTCGGACAGGGAATAACATGTTATGACCACGTAAAAGCGATCTAACCTTTGAGTTCTGGTTGATCTTTAGGGATTTAACTTATATACACTGATCGTGCAAAGCATTTTTACACTATCAAGTGTACCTACCTTATTTTCCATGATTATTAATACTATCAACTATTATGGATGGTTACCTGTAATTATCTTCTATGTACGACCAGACTCAAAGGGGATTCCCTACTTCATTGAAAATTCGGAGATTGTACTATGTGGTCCTTTTCTTGATCATACTATATACTAGTTGGTTGAGTAAATTTAATCTGTTTTTGTTGTCACAAGTTGGTGTACTATTGTCAAGAACCAAAACTTTAAATGAATGGCGTGATATGATTGAAAGTAAGAGTTTATGGAGCTGTGGCCACACTTGGAATCTTCCTCATATTATATGTCTTCTGTTGTCTGTTAAAGGGGCTAGTAAAGTTTGGCTCTTTGGTTGTCTTGTAGTGTTATACAAGATGTCATGTGATCTATGAATGAATATGTAGTGATCTTTTGCAATAAATGAAGCCTCAGAAAGTGGGGGCTACTTGTTCATTTTTACGTCGCAATCAGGGGGAGTACGCACCTTTTCCTTATTTTCGGTGTTTTCCTTAATTAAAAAAAATGTGGCAATCTTGTGCCTAGGTAAACCAGTCATCTCACCGATATAAGTTGTGGTAAATGATTCCATAACCGAAATGTGATTCTTCTGGACTCAAAATACTTTTTAAAGTGTAAAAAAAGAAAAAAAAGTTACCATTCTATATTTAAACGCGGTTATGAACCGCGTTTACCTTAACGACCGTTTGGGACGTAAAGGTAAAGCGCGGTTCATAACCACATTTTATGTAAAACACAGTTGAATACCGCGCTTTACTGGAAGCTGATAAGACAGCTATATAAAGCGGGGTTCATTGCGTTTTATATAGAACGCAGTAAGAAACTACACTTTACATGTTTACTGGGCCCACCAATAACTCTTCTGCGCTTCACTGACATAACAATAATTCAAATATGTAAAACGCCCTTTTAAACTGCGTTTTATTTCCAAAAATTTGACCCCCCGGATTGGGCATTTCCTTATATAAACGCGTTAAGGGTTTTGAAAAAAATCATTCAGAAATACTCCAACTTCGTGATAAATTTTTCTTGTTGTTAATTTCTCAAGCCTTTTTCATAATGTCTGAAGAGCGTAAAGTAAGGGTTTCATTATATTGGGGGGGGGGGGGGTGAGGTTGTGGTGGCGAATAACTCAGTGAGCTATAGTTTATCTCCACAGAGTCATGTTAAGTTGCCACTTACAATGGAGTACGATAGACTGGTATCGTTGTTATGCAATAAAATGAGGTTGAGCAAACGTTCGGTGAATCTTAAAATAACCGGAAGATATCCATATTCTATGACTCCGCAAGGGGTTGCTTGTTACGCTGAGTTTAACATCGAGGACGATGAAACTCTGAGAGATTTTTTGGGGACTCCGGATGAATACCGGGAACTTATTTTGATAAAAATGTTGGAAATGTACGTGAAGGTTGAAGACGTTTGCGATAATGATGTTGTGCAAAGCAGGGATAACCCTCAATCATCGGGTGGTTATTCTGGAGCAATTTTAGCCCACCAGGTTCTGGCTGGAAGAGTTTGGCCGGATCTAAACTTATCTACGCGGGCGAACGAGGAGCGAGGAAATAATTTCTCTCATACTTTACATAATCCACAAGACGACAGGTAAACTTCAATTTTCCTTTGTGTTACGATGTTTATTTTTGTTGTATTTAATTTGTATTAACACTCATATATTCCACATGGGGTGCCGTAATATGAATTTTACAAGTTATGACCCCACGCCCAGTTGGAATATACATAGTTTTGGTGTGTTGGATCACGGTGGTCTATCCGGTCCATCATGGAATGTCAACACATTACGACTTGTAAGTGAAGTGATATAGCTATATGTAAAGTATTTATCAATTTGAGTAGCTTATCATTTTGTTGTTTGTGCAGTGAAAACGAGTAACTTGATGGTCCTGACCTCACTCAGTTGCCAACAATGCCGATGAGTCTGGAGATGACACACCCTTCCTTGACGAGGGTGATGATGAGGAGGAAGTGAATGTCGAACCTGAGCTGACGAGGGAGCATGCTCCACCTCCCGTTGGACCAAGAGTGTACGAGTCCCACGTGCCGTTTCATTCAAGGCATATTCCCTACCTTGATAATTTGCCAAGTATGCCGGATGTGGATGCCCTCACAAGGGATCTTGACGAAATTCGATCAGCAATGTGGGATGAGTCTAGACTAACGGTGCTGGCAAAGGGCATGTATATTCCCGATGAAGCTCGCCTATCCAAGGCTTGTAAAATATACAGCGTAAGAGAGTGTCGTGAGATGATAGTGTCACGACCTGGATTTCCCACCCTCGGGAGTCGTGATGGCGCCTACTAGTGAAAGCTAGGCAAGCCAACCAATTGAATTATTTACCTTTTTCTCATTTTAATCCTTTAACAGTTATGAATCAACATTTTATAATCAGCGGAATTATATAAGCGGAAGAACAAATTATAACCATTAAAATATTACCAATACAATACCTTAAACATAGACTACCCAGAATTGGTGTCACAATTTCACAGACTGTCTAAGAATACTACAAATAAGGGTCCGAAAAATAAATACAATGCTGTCTCTGAAATACATAAAAGAAACAGAATGAAGGGATAGAAGGAGATGCCAAGGCCCGCGGACGCCTGCAGGACTACCTCGGGTCTCCGAATGGACTGAAGGCAGCAACCAAAGCTAAGGTCCGTATGCTCCAGTACCGGGATCTGCACAAAAGAGTGTAGAGTGTAGTATCAGCACAACCGACCCCATGTGCTGGTAAGTGCCTAGCCTAACCTCGGCGAAGTAGTGACGAGGCTAGGACCAGACCACCAAATAAACCTGTGCAGTTAAATCATATACCGCGGAAAATAAAGGCAAACTTTACAATTAAAGATAGGAAGGGGAAACCATGCTTCGGGGAACAACAAGTATCAAAAGAAAGCCAACAGTTAAATGTAGAGAAACCATAACTCAGTTATTATTAAAAATCAGGAAATCAAAGACAAGTGCACGGCATCATCCTTCGTGCTTTAACACTTTCTCACAAGTAACATGCACGGCATCACCCTTCGTGCTTTAAAACTCTCTCACAAATATCGTGCACGGCATCACCCTTCGCGCTTTACACTCTTCCTCACCCAAGCAACAATCACAAGCAATTTGGGCAAGGGAATCAATGACATCACAATAAAATCAAGTAACAACAGAAAATCAGGAAATAAACGTAAAGAACACCATAACTCAATTATCAACAAGAATCAGGAAAATCAAGGACAAGTGCACGGCATCACCCTTCGTGCTTTTACTCTCGTCCTCACCATAAGAATCAATATAATCCTTCGTGCATTATCACTCATATAAAGGCAAAGAATGGTACATCGTGCGGCACGACATCACCCTTCGTGCATTAACACTCTCTCACAAATATCATGCACGGCATCACCCTTCGTGCTTTAACACTCTCTCACCAATACAATGCATGGCATCACCCTTCATGCTTTAACACTCTTCCTCACCCAAACAACAATCACAAACAATAAGGGCAAAGAAACAAATAAAATCACAATAAAAATCCCGGCAAGGGAATAATAGTACAACAATTATATCCCGGCAAGGGAAACAATATTAAAAGCAACAACATCCCGGCAAGGGAAAAAACCTTTAAAAGCAACAAAATAACATACAGACTTGCTTGTGCGATCAAATCATCAAAATAATATCAATAACTATGAATTTAGCATCAAAATCAAAGAAAAATCTCATGAACTCTTAAGTTCAAATCTTAACAACCGAAGGTCCGATTCACGTCATATCAAGTTTGTTTCTTACCAAATTTTACAGGCTCGACTTAAATACCATATAAGACCTGTACCGTGCTCCGTAACCAAAATACGGGCCCGATACCATGGAATTCAATTACATTCAAATTTCCAAAAACTCTAAAAATTTTAGTTAAACAATTTTCTTCAAAAATTCATTTCTCGGGCTTGGGACCTCGGAATTCAATTCCGGGCATACGCCCAAGTCCTATATTTCCTTACGGACCCTCTGGGACTGCCAAATCACGGGTCCGGGTCTGTTTACCCAAAATGTTGACCAAAGTCAACCTAAATTCATTTTAAAAGAAAAATTCATCATTTTTCACAACAACCGAGCCTCTCCCGGCTCAAACCACCCAACCGGCGACCGACACCGCCTACCATATAAAGCCTTATAAGGAGCCATCTGAATGCTCGATTGGTAATTGTTGTTGTAGGCAAACTCCGCTAAAGGCAAAAACTGATCCCATGAGCCTCCAAAATCAATAACACAAGCTTGGAGCATATCCTCCAAAATCTGAATAGTACGCTCGGACTGCCCGTCCGTCTGCCCATTTCTTTCAATCAAATCCATCTTTTTACATGATTTCAATTTAAAATCAAGGGTTTTCATGGGGAAATTGGGTGTTTTTGGGTAGAACTTAGGATTTTAAAATTTTGGGGATTTGGACCTCGATTTGAGGTCCGATTTCAAAACAAATTATATATTTGATTTCGTGGGTGAATTGGTGATCGGGTTTTGGTTCGAACCTCGGGTTTTGACCATGTGGGCCCGGGATTGATTTTTTTGACTTTTTGGGAAATCATTAGAAAACCTATTTTCATGCATTAGAATTGATTCATTTAGCATTTGTTGATATCGTTAAGTATATTGTAACTAGATACAAGCGAATTGGAAGTGGAACCGAGAGGTAAAGCGGTAGTTGAGGCTTGATTGTGTTCGTGGCATTGAGGTAAGTGTTTGGTCTAACCTTAGCTTGAGGGATTAGGAGTTGTGTCTTATTTGCTATGGGTTAATTATTGAGTACGACGTATAGGTGTGGTGACGAGTATCTATACGTCGGTGTCAAGCATGCCCGTGAGTCTTATACTATGACTGATGTGACTCCGTTTTGTATTGTCCATGCTTAATATGACGATTTCTAATGTTGAACAAGGCTTATGGAAGTATTCTTGGTAATTGAACATTGTAGAGCATTGGGTCAAGTCGAGAATTGAGTTGTGAAGTAATTTGTGGAAATGAGAAGAGGTTTTTGATATTGTCTCCCTTTCCGGGATGTTATTACTTTTGATATTATCTCCCTTTCCGGGATGTTATTGCTTTTGATATTATCTCCCTTGACGGGATGTTATTACTCATGATAT